ATTCGGACTTTGCTCTGGCCGCCATTGCGCCGCCTAAACCACTGTTTCGTTTTCTGGTTATGTACTACTACTGGCTTGGCAGCCCTCTCGTCCTCTGCTCTCCTGAAAGCTCCGAAAATCTGTAGCATCGTATGTGACAGCGCTGGCTTGCGGTTCAATTTTTGCTACTTGTTTACTGTGGGCGAGCAGTTAATATCGGTAAATTCCAGACAACATCGCAAAAGTAAGGTACGTATTGAGTAAAAGAAGAGCGCTGTCACTGAAACACCGAATCTCAACCAAAGCGCCCGAATTCCTCCAGTACATCAACCCGACCGAGGAAATCCGTCTGCTCTCGCCGGAGCGTGTCCGCAATGGGGCCAACGCTCCCCTCCTGGAGCCGCAGCGCAACGGGCGACTTCTCGTCATACTTCGGCCAGAACACCCCGGGATTGAGGTCATTCACAAAAGAGATGTAGAAATCTTGCATCTGCGATTGCAGTGATGGCGAGGTGACTGGGGGGAACCCGATATCGAGGTAATAGAGGTCGGAGGTGTGGAATGCTGTTCATGAATGACGAAATCAATGCGGGGAATGGAAGACAATTGAAGTCGAGATGCTCACCCCCGAAGAAATCTGGCGCGCCAGGAAGATGCTGCTCAAACGAATATGCCCACACATCCTGCTTCCGGTGCGCGGCCGATGCGGTCTTGAGGAACAGCCGCTGTGGAGCCAACATCGCGTAATCTGTCTCGAATTGCGAAGCGCGATTGGACAGCGAACTATTCGACAAGTTGTCCGTCGGGTGAGCGTAGAGGGCGAGGAGTTTGGCGAGCGTGTCTTGAGACACAGTTTCGCTATTGGTTGCCTGACCTGCGATGAAACCGCTCAGAAGGGAGTTTTCGAGGTCTATGGGCGGTTGAGGCGTGATATCGATGAACGTCGTGCCAATCAAACTGAAAACAAATGGTTGAGCAGGTTGAAAAGATATCGCAGTAGAGAGAAGAACGTACTAATTGCCTTCATTCCGGTTCGTACCAGTAATAATCGGCGCATTCAGAAAGTCGCCGTTGATGACCTTCTTGGCGGGGTACTCGTCGATCAAGGAGCCTTTAGGACCTTTGCAAGTCACTCCCCACGGCGGAAACCCACCCCCGGGCGGGTTGTATGTCGACAGTGCCAAGGGCCAAAATGTCTGTCGTACGCAGTCCGGGTTGGATTAGCATAATGACCGCCTCGAGGCACAGGCTTCTCAATCAACGTACATCAAACGGCAGGTCTCTCAAACACGCGAACGATCCCGCCCCGGTGCCGCACCCCGTAACGTTCCCCAGGATATCGTACGCGCCGCCTGGGCGGTCGTGCCACTCGCACGCGGGGGTGTTGATGACGAGCGCGGTACCAGAGCTGGATATTCCCGCACGGAAGGTGCGCCGGGAGTCGGGGTAGAGGTAGTGCATGTGGACACTGCTTCCCCCTACGCAGGAAATAGTGAACATTGGTAGGAAGGCGTGGAACGAGAACTTGAACATACCGGCAGATTCACCCGAGATGGTGATGCGCGACCCATCGCCCCCGAACGCGTGGGCGTTGTCTTGGATCCATCGAAGAGCGTCCCGCTGATCTTGGAGTCCCACGTTTAGAGCCTCGAGTGGTGCGTGTGCGCTGCCGAGCTGAATAAAACATAAATCAGTCGTCGTCTCAGTAACGCAGTCGAAGTGGGACTCACGAATCCAAGGACTCCAATGCGGTAATTGAATGTTATCCAGATCATTGGCTTATCGGTCGCAACACTCCGGCGTACAAGACTAGTACCATCCCACTCGGAGCCCGCACCAGCAAAGTAGCCACCGCCCTGAAACCTCATTAGAAGGAGTCGCAGATCCATACTTTACACGCACATAAATGTGAACCAGAACCGGCAGCCTGTCCTTCGCAGACGTGCCTTCAGGCCGCCAGACCTGCAGCAGAATCTCAGATCAGATGCGGCGTAGGCCGCAGCAGCCGGAAGGGCACCCACGTTGACAAAAAGACAATCCTCGCTTTGATTCGCGCCCCTCAACGGCGGACCGGCTGGGACGCCCGCGGCTCCGAGGAGACTGGGCAGCTGGGGGCAGTCTGCACCGAATGCGGCGGCGCTTTGCACGTCCGCTGGAGGGTTCGAGATAGGTGTAGCCGGTGTGAAACGAGTGGGACGGGACGCGAAGCGGATGCCCTTGAATACCTCGACCTCGTTTTGCGCGTCGTGCACGCCGAGGTAGGAGCCCGAGGACGTAGCGACGAGTGGCCCGGTTTCTCCCAGAACGGTGGAGAGGAGAGACAGCACGAGAAGGGAGAGAGAAGAACGGAGAAGCATCTCGAGGAAAGGAAATGGTGTACCTTTCAGTCCGCGCCACAATTTATATCCATCCACGCGCCTGCTTTGAACGAAGAGGGATCGACAAGTGTCAGCGCCAAGGAAGTCGATGCAGGTCATTCTGCTTACTGCCTTCCGGTCATTGATTATGGAGATTCCTCGTTCGGCTGAATGCTAGTGAGAACCTCGGCGGGCTCTGATCTCACCAACTCAACAAGAGATCATCAGACGCCGGTGACGCCATTAATCGACATAAATGTTGTACATTTGTGGTCTCTTCAAAAAATGTGAGATGGAGAGACGTAGAAGATGTATCAAGTCCTCCTGCAGCGAGGTAACTCACTGAATGGAGTCCAACGAAAACCTTTAGTTCGTTCCACTTGATTGGTAAGATCTCAATTCTCGGCGGCGTAAGACAGATCTGAGTAAAAATGCTTACAATCTCGGCGGCATCGAAATAAGTACTCGTGGTCGAGATCGCGTTATTTCTGGCCAGGTATGCGACGCCTACATATGTGCATCAACCAGGAATTCCGGAACAGGTCACGATTGAGTTTCGGGCCAAGACCAATATAAAATTTCAGAAAGTTGAAGACGATTCCGAGTGTGGACAAGACGCCGTGTCAGTCAGAGGGATCACAATCGAACAGCCTGCGAAATTAATCAATAATTTAATACCGCTGTATCCTACGTTCAGACCGTTCTACATCGCGTTATGCTAGTAGTCGGTTGGTATCGCCGGCCGTCCCAGGGAAATCCTGCACGAAGGCCCGGGTGCTCGCCTGCGCGTGGTGATCAGCGGCGACGGTCCAACCCCACGGCGGACCATGTATTCAGCCGCTCCACAGACCCAACCCGCCTGTGAATTTCCGCAGACACTCATCGTCGTCACGCGGAATACGACGGTGGCCGCGGGGACGTCGCCTCCTCGTGTCCGTTCGGGTTCAGGTGCGCGGTTGAGCTCGGATTGGAGTTGGAGTTCGACGAAAGCGCGAGCTGCTCGAGCTGCCGGAAGCGCGCCTCGATGAAGTCGAGTCGCGTTGCGAGGTGTTGCGATTCGACGGTTGGGTCGGTGTCGGCGGCGATGGTGGGGCTGGTGGTTGTGCCGGCGATATCCGACGTCGTGAGTTCTGAGTGGGGCGGGGGGAAGGGCGTCTTGTCGCTAGGGTACGCTGGTTCCACGACGGGGAGGACGAAGGGGGTTATGGGCACAAAGGTGGTGTCGGTGGCGGCGGCGGCGGCGGCGCGTTTGCGCAGCTGCATGGCGCGGTGGATGAGGAAGAGCAGCGCGGCGAGGAAGAGGAGGCCGCCGATGACGCCCCCGACGGCGGGGCCGACAGGGGATTTGGTGTGCCGCGCGGGCGTGAGGGCGGGAGCGGCTGAGGGTAGGGACCCGCCCGTTGCGCCACCTGTGGAGGAGGAACTCGCGGCGGTTTGGGTAGAGGAACCGCTGGACGAAACCGCAGGGACGGTCCCACCGGTACTACACGCATAAATCAGCCGTGTACGAGCGAAAGAAAGTTGCTGCAACGCACGAGTATATTATCGCATCGAAATTGATGACGCTGTCGTCCGACGCCGCGTTGTTGTTGGTCGTGATCGTGAGTGTGTGCGCCACGTCCTCGAGCGTGGTGTTCTGATACCCCAGGACACTCTGCGACTCGGTGCCGGATGCGCCGCCCGTGGCCTTGTACTGCCCGACACTAACACCGTCCAGCGATATAGCGCAGTTGACGTCGTCCTGGTTGGCGAAAAACACGTAGACCGAGTGGCCTGCGCGATAAGTAAGCGCGTTGTTCCGAGACGGGGGGGTAGACGGGCGCACCGGTGAACGGGACGGTGATCGTGCCCCAAAAAACGGTCATGGTGCCGTTCTTGAGCTTGGTAAAATCGAAAACGGGGACGTTCTGACCAGCGACGCGGCAGGAGACGCCGGCGCCAACTGGGTCGTCCGAGGGACAGCTGACCCATATTCCCAAGGCGCCATTGGGTCCGATGTGGTTGTATTGCACTATGGGGCTTGTGTCGTCGATGGTGTGGTTCGACACGGAAGAACCAGCCGCGAAATAAAGCCAACGAAAGACAGCGTACCATGCGAGCAGCATGGTGGATGGAGACCTGCACAGAGAGTCACAAGCGTGACCGGTGATCTTGATGCCATCTTTTCATGTTCAACTTCAATTGGAAGCCATTGAACTGGATGAAGTAGCGCGGGAGTAGGAAGGGTAAGACGCGGGGCCCGTTCAATCGTCCCCATGGAAAATGAGGCGCGCAAGCGGCACCGCTGCGCAAATAATTGCCAGAGCAACAAGCGCTGGGTATATGCCATATGGTCTATATAAGTAAACGGACAGCCAACGAAAGTGATATCTGAAACTTGAATAGCACAGCGTTCCGGGACCGTATTAGCCAAGCATGAATTCACTTGTTTTCGACCGTTTGTTCAGTTTGAAGACACAATAGATACCAGCTCGCGCCGAACTTCAGCTGCGAGTGAGGGTTGCGCGCTACATATGAGATTGTCGGTTCCCCAGACGAAACGGCGACCACACGTTGTGTGATCTAACTTCCCGAACACAACTCGAGTTGTCGCGGACCATCTGAGTCGTAGAGACTCTGAGAACCTTCAAAAAGTCAGAAACGCGGCGAGCCCAGCAAAACAATTGGACACTGTAGGAATCGAACCAACGACCTTTCGCAAGCATTTGGAGAATCAACATATGCGCAACCATGCGAAGCGAACGCGCTACCAGCTGCGCCAAGAGCCCTGCGGAGTGTTATGGCGCAGGAAAGAGCCACGTTTCGCAGAGCAAGAGAAAACAATATCAGAACGAACGAAGGTTCGAGCGCAAGGTGACGAAATGGTTCGATGAGGCACCAGAGAGTCTGAAGCGAAGTAAAGTGCCAACATATATACGTGGTTGGACTTGGGGTTGGCTTGATGAAAGTTCGATCGTATGGTTGCGTTTTGACTGCATTGAACCAAGATCGGTGATGGTGATCGATGCATGCTATCCATCTCGAGAACGATGCAAGAACGATGAGCTTAGAATACCAGAGTTTTTTCGGGGCCTAGGGTGTTCACCTCGAGGTCCGATCGTCGGCCTCCTCTGGTCAACTTTGAAATAAAAAAGCAGTTACATGTACTGTATAGCTCTACTTATGTAGAGCCTCTACATAAGTTCGCAGCGGCGCAACACTGGTGGCAAGGACACCATTGGATGGGATCAATCACAGCCCACAGGCAACGCATACCGAGCTCTAGGGTAGGAAACATCCAAGGTAGTGTTTCGTAGACAGACGCTTCAGCAGAACAGTTCGTACAGTACCACTTGTTGAAAATCCGACTCTCGGCCGAAGCGCCGATCCGAAGGAATCCGATCTCGATCGGTTTTTCAGATGAATCAGATCACCTCTCTCTTTCTTCCCGACTCAGTGACTCGCTCGGTCTTCTGCTTCCAATGCCTTAAGGATTTTCCCAATCCCTTGGAAAACGTCCAGTATCCTCCGAGTACAGTCGATCTTCAAGTCTTGGTCATGGTTTCGGCAAGTCTTGAGCCGTGCCAAGTCTTGCCCTGTCTTTGCCACTGCGGAATCTAGCTTCGCGCGTGAATATCGACTTCACCCCGCGCAGCAGCGTTTCCGACTTGAAACTGGTTTTTTGTTCACACCTCTCGCTTCTTCGCAAGTCGGCGACGACGTCCCATCCCTGCGGATGCCGCTAGGATTCTGGATAGAAAAGTCGTATACGCATCCGTACCTGAAGGGTTTCCTGACTCGGATACCCGGCCCTCACGCATATGCAGGCACGTCACTGGATGCGCAGCCGCAGTATCCGAGGGAATTTCGCCAGAGCTGTACGGTCGCGACGATGCTCCTCATGCAGCAGATGTGCATCAACGTCGCGGCAAGGTCAACCACCATTTGATCCTTCAACGTCAGTGCGGTCGAGTAGGCCAACGAACTGCGACAGGATTAACCGCTTCTTCAGTGACTCCACTCCAGGTTCGGGTGCGTGAAATTTTGGAACTGCCAGACGCAAAATACTGATCCTCGTAGGTTTCATGTCCTTCGACCTTGTGACTTTGGGATTTAGATCGGCTTTCAGTTCTTGTCAAGATCCGACGGTTACGTCGCTCATACCTGTTTTGAAGCTGTTGCTTACAGCTCTTTGATTAAACGCTAACGCCCCATGTCTCTAGATCTTCGACTCGAAACTCCAGTATTGGTTCACGCCCTCGACCGCAACGCAGCGACTGGCCCGGATCGATATGCTCGTTCTTCTCGCTTGCCGTGAAGGGTTCAGAGAGACTACCATTGTCGAGCGCGGCAACTGGATGCTCAATTCTGACAGTCCAGGTAAGAATCAGCCCGCCGGCCGTCAAATTGTGCCGTCGCATTTCCTGAAGGAGAACTTCATATGACCTGCCGCAGCAGCCTTCCGACGAGGTTGGTCTAATTTTGAACCCCATGGTTTCGTATAAATTGAACCTACAATCCAGGCAGACCACTCCTCACAAATGGCTCTGCTCATCCCTTCCCTTCTTTTCGCGGCTGTAGCTATCTCGAGTGCCGCAGGCTCCAGCTCTGGTGATCCCCGCCACCAGTGGATTGCCCCCAAGAGCACGGATCTGCGTTCGCCTTGCCCGGGCCTCAACACGTGAGTGGGCTGAAAGTCTGCCCTACGACTGGGGGTGCTTACTCATTTCGCAGTCTGGCTAATCACGGGTACCTTCCTCGGAATGGGAGAGACATCTCCATCCCCATGATGCTGAAGGCTGCCATTGGTGACGTCTATAACCATGCCCGGATACAGACTTTTCTCATGAGCCAAATTTCCAGACGGATTCAATGTCGGCCCCGACGCGATCCTTCAAGCAGCGAAGTTCGGGCTCCTCTCTGGCGACGATCCCACGACCTTGAACCTCGATGCTCTCAAGCTGTAGGTGGTGTCTGAGAGTGAGGCCGACGCTGAATCTGATTCTCAGGCACAACCTCATCGAACACGACGCCTCGGTGTCGCGCGGCGACTTTGCACTGGGCGACAACCTGCACTTCAACGAGACGATCTTCAGCACACTCGCGAACGCCAACCCCGGTGTGGATTACTACAACGCCACCTCTGCCGGGCGCGTCCAGCACGACAGGCTCGCCATCTCTCTCGCGACCAATCCGAACATCACCAATACGCCAAAGGAGTTCCTCTTGCGCGCGCGCGAAGCAGGGCTCTACCTGAGTGTGATGGGAAATCCACTCACCGGCGTGGCACCGAAGAAGTGAGTGCTGCGCAAATGACGCGATCCATACGATTTGGAACTGATTCTGATGCTTCATACTGTAGATTCGTTCAGATTTTCTTCAGGGAAGAGCGTCTGCCCATTGCAGAAGGGTGGAAGCGGCCGACCACCACTATCACCGCGAAGACCCTGGATCCAATCGAGAACATCGTCATTGACACCTCTGACTGGACGCCCACCCAATTGTGCGAGGACCTGGTGCTTGGTCCCGATCTCACCATTTAGTTCACCTGTTCGTCGATATCGCTAGTCCGTATTACTGCGTTGATCATGTCTTGTCGTCTGCTCCCCGAAATAATTTGGTCTCCGGAATAATTGCGAGTGATTCATTGGCTGCTTAAATTATGAGCGAGGATCAGAGAACCTCCGCGGTCGTAAAGTCCAAAATCAGGGCGACTGCGCGGGTTGTCCTGATTTTTAAACATGAGAAGAACCTCCCCAGTCATCCGTTAAAAACAGGTCCAAGCTCTCGTTCTCTGCACCCCCACATCCATTTTCCCGCGTCTACCATGTCTGACCCTGACTCCGAGTGCGGCAATATCAACAATCCCGATACCTTTACAGGTCTCCGTGTCGCCTCGGTGTTTGTCATCCTCGTCTGTGCCACGGGCGGGACGCTCTTCCCCATCCTTGCCAAACGGTCGACGTGGCTTCACCTCCCAAAATCCGTGTTCGAGTGAGTGGCCGCGAGTTGGACGGTTGGGATGAATTCTGACCGATATTTTGGCGCTGCTAGCTTCGCGAAATACTTCGGGTCTGGCGTCATTGTGGATATCCAATCTATCCATTTTTCGTAATGCTGACGTTGGGCACAGATAGCGACTGCGTTCATCCATCTCTTGTCACCGGCTCTCGATGAACTCTCGTCTGATTGCTTGTCGCCCCGATGGAGCGAATACGTGAGTCGCCACGATGTGCTCACCAATTTGTCTGACTGATGTACTCAGCCATACGCGCTTGCTCTGTGCCTTCTCAGCATCATGTCCATATTCATCCTCGAGCTAGTCGCCTTTCGCTGGGGAACGTCGCGGTTGCAGAAGATCCACGTCACCCATGGTATGTTGATTCGTGGACCAGCGGATTACAACTGATGTTCAATGTTATCCCTCAGACACCCACGGTCATGAAGTTGGCTCGCATGCCGCGCATGGTCCAGAGCACAGTCCGCCAGCCAAAGCTGTTGATGACCCGGAGGCGCAGAGCATAGACCTGAAACCGGACGATTCGGCGGCGGCGCAGATCATTGGCATAGCCATCTTGGAATTTGGGGTTCTCCTTCACAGGTTCGCCCTCTCCTGTTCATTTATTTCTCGGGTTCGACACGACTGAATCCTTGCAGTGTCCTGATTGGCTTGACCCTCGCCGTGGACGAAGGCTTCAAGATTCTCTTTGTCGTCATCATATTCCATCGTACGTCTCCATTGTGAAGCGCATTTCATTCCTTCCGACGCGTGCGCAGAAACATTCGAAGGCTTGGGTCTGGGATCCCGACTGGCTTTCATCAAGCTCCCGCCGCGGTACAACTTCGTGCCCATTGCTGCGGCGCTCATCTACGGCATCAGCACTCCCATCGGCATTGCCGTTGGATTGGGTATCAGGAGCACCTATAACCCCGGCAGCGCAACCGCCTCGATCGTAAGCGGCGTACTCGATTCCCTCAGCGCCGGGATCCTCATGTATACCGGGCTCGTGGAGGTGCGTTGGCGGCGAACGAAGTTGAGGCAAGCGCACTCATAACATCTCTCCAGCTCTTGGCGCATGAATTTCTGTTCAACAAGGAGATGGTCAATAGTAGCGATGGTAAGCTGGCGTATGCAATTGGGTCAATGCTTTTTGGATGCGGCATCATGGCACTGTTGGGAAAGTGGGCCTAGATTCGGCGCCCAGTAGAAAAAAGTGACTGGACTCGGAGGTGTAAATTGCATTGTTTCATAACTTTCATTTCGGGTTCTGCGAAGTTCATACAACCTAGCTCACGAGTGGTTGTTCCGAAAATACTTCATCCTATGAGTTACGAGCCAGAGGTAGAAGCTAGAGTTCGAATGAAGGAAAGAGAAAAGGGAAAGACGGGCATAGTCTCGGTGCCAGCCTCTCACGACATCCCATTCTGGGAACCCTCTCACGACAGGGTTCCCAGAATGGGATGTTGTGAGAGGCTGGCACCGAGACTAAGACGGGCATTAGCATTTTCGGCTCCGAATCAACTCCGAATCGCGGGTCGGCCCGGCCCGGACCCACGTTGCCATGCCATTGCTCACACTGTCGCAGGCGCTTGAAGCACACACACGGCAATTAGCCAAATTTCCGGCCACCAGAAGTTAGCTTGAACCACTAGGGATCCCCACCGTAACCGTATAAAACCGTAATACGGTTACGGTTATACGGTTACGGTACCGTACATACAGGCTCTCAGAGAGACCTTTTACGGTACGGTGATAACCGTACCGTATTCCGTAATGACCCGTAAAAAA